TATATATACAAAATGAAACTCTTCAAAATTTACAGAATGATATTTAATTTGACTTTTTTTTTGTTAAACTTGTGACAAATACATTTTACTCACATGTCCTGATGCCTCCCAGTAATCCAGGTATAAAAATCAAAAAGAAAAATTAAGTATGTCCTCCAAGAGGAGAGACAAAACGTTTCATTAAAGAAGAACCCGTCCAGAGGACATACTTATTTTTTATTTTTGTTTTTACTCACATGCACAGTATTTTTGCATTACTGTCAAATAAAATGTACCTGTGAGTAAAAATTGTCCAAACTAAATGTGATTGAAGGTATGAAAGCATAACGACTGAAAAACTCAGCCTAGGAAATGACAGTAAAAACAATACATGTCTTATGATGCTAATATGCTAAACATTTGGAAATTATTCAAATAATAAAGCTCGGTTTATGGGATTTAAATATTTTCTATGCTGTTTTTGTCAATTGTGTCACATCACGACAAAGCACACAAACGAAAACATATTTTTAAAAGGCTTTATTTAAGATTTCTGCACATTATTTAAATATGTTCAGTAAGCAGATTTTATATAGACAAGTGCTTGAGTAAAAGCTGTGCATAAATAGTTAAATAAATATTTAAAATTCACAACAATTTGAGTCATTTCAAATAATAAATACACAAAATGGCTCACCAAACAACACAATGGTGCCACCTTTTGGTAAAACTTGACAAAGTCAATACAATGAGCATTTCTCCTTCTGTACTTGGTACATACAGTAATAAAGTACTATGTAAAACTTGCACGTTATTTTAGCAAACAACAGCAGGGCTTTTCTCAGATCCACAAACTGTCAGCCTCCGGCAGTTTTTAATTCAGACTCTGAATTTTGAATTTTATGTATCGGTCGGTGGTTTCCTGGCACATCTCCACCGGCCTCTTGTCCTCTGTCGACGTGCTGATGTACCACTTGGGGAAGGAAGCAGATGTGAAAGTGCTCTGGTTCACTGCCTTGTCCTGTTTGTAGAAGAGGAAGCGCTTCTTCTCACTTTCTGAATCGATGTTCAATAGAGTTTCTTTGTCCACTGCCTGAGGAGGGAGAAAATCAGAGTCAGCAGGTTTTTACACCGGACAGTAGGACCACTCTAATGAATCTGTTTGTGGCAACAGCCTTAAGAATTTACCCTAAATTTAAAGGTGCTTTGTTTACATCTATAGTGGACCCACATTTCTCAATTACATATCAATATATCTGCCGGATTTCATAGTTAGCAATGAGTTTTACCTCCAGGTGCAGAGTTGGTGTGTCGCCATTTTGTTGGCAGCACAGGTACAGGTTTGTGCCTTTGATGCCCAGAGCAACAAGCAGGGCACCAGGGCTGGATGCAGAGGGGTTGTGTGTGTACATCGCCATGTTCAGGAAAACTGAGGAGAGAACCAAAGACAAGTTTAAGATACAATCATCAGTTACTGTGGGCCAAACGTTTCAGTGTGTTGATAATTTGGTCACATATAACAGACCTATTTCTAAATGTGACTATCTGACTCTGAATGTAAACATCTCATTTACCTTTGTGGTGAAGATTGGCGGCCTGCAGCGTCATGGCGTGGAGCTCCATGCTGTCTTTGACCAGAACAAAACTCCGCTGACGGCTGTCTGTGACGCTGCACTCGTGCTCCTCGAACATGTGGAACTGATACGGTGCACCCGACTGGGACTCAAAGAAGTGTTTCTCTGGGAAAAAAAAGAAAAGAAAAAAGAGGCATGTTTGGTTATTTTATTTTATTTTATTTTATTTTATTTTATTTTATTTTATTTTATTTTATTTTCCTCTGAATCCTAGCTGTAAGTCCCTGTTTTCTTTTCTTTATATCTCTCTGTAATCTGCATACTTTGGTCTTTTTTTAGACATTTATACATCAAAATATTTGGCTGATTCAGAAAATGTGACCATTTTTTGTAATTTGTAAAAGTTTTGAATTATTGAAGGTTTTTTTTATGAGTAATTCCCATAAAATCCACTGAGATCTTTTTAATTCCTTCAAATACATAGTTTTTGATTGCTCTGTTGAATTTGCTGTTTTTGTTTTCTTGCGCTACATTTGGCTTTTAGCTAGACATTCGCTAAGCTATTTTAAGCTAATGTAGCACTAGCTTTAGGTTTTAGCTTGCCTTTTGATCTGTTTAGCTAGCCCTTTGCTACTTTAGCACCTAGTAGATTTTTTCTATGAACCTTTTGCTGCTAGCTCTGCAATGTTTTTACTTTTTAGCTTGCTTGTTGCCACATTAAGCTTTTAGTTATCCTTTGCCTCTTTTACACTTTAGCTATCAATTTGCACATTTTTTTTCTTTTAGCTACTTTTCATCTGTTTCACTATTTAGCTACTGTTGTGCTTCTTTTAGCTTTTAGCTACTGTTGTGCTTCTTTTAGCTTTTAGCTACTGTTGTGCTTCCTTAATCTTTTACTAGTGTTCTGCTATTTTACTATTTAGCTACTGTTGTGCTTCTTTTAGCTTTTAGCTAATGTTGGACTTCCTTAAACTTGTACAAATGTTCTGCTGTTTATCTATTTGGCTACTGTTTGGCTTCCTTTAGCTTTTAGCTACTGTTGAGCATCTTTAATCTTTTACTAGTGTTCTGTTCTGTTCTTGTCACTTTATTTTATTTGATCAGAAAATGTTATTTTTTATTGGACTACTTAAATTTGGCTGAATTTCTTGCCCAGCAGACATGTCATCTCAGTTAAATCTGGTGTTTAAAGAGTAAAAAAAGTGGATTTTGTTTCGGTGCGTACCTTCCACGACGCTCTCCAGCATGATGCTGATCAAGTTCTCGTCCCTGAAGTCGGTGCTCAGCACCTTCTCGGCCACGCCGGCCTTCAGCCTCTCCATGGCGATGATCAGATTAACAACGTGCCTCATGGATGGTGGCTGATGGGAAATCTCTAATCCCAGTCCTGCGGGCATCTTCTTGGTCCACATGTTGCTCAGGTTGCACACATTGGATTCCATTTTTTTTTTTTACAGATAAAAAGAGCTGCAGAGAAACAGAAGAAACTCTGAGTCACTTCGGATCAACTTGAGCTTTTTAATAAGTTTGTGAAATTTATGATGATCATTAGATTTACAGCAGTGCCTCAGTATGTTGTAGCAGCTGATTTACTGCAGATATAAGCTGAAAAAGAAGAGTTACCTGCTGGAGCCTGGAGGAGCTGTTTGAGCTGTTTGCTGGTTATCAGCTGTCCTGTTGTTCTGTCTCTCTCAGCTGACACTCACTCCTTTTTAAAGCCGTTTCAGGAGGGAATTTTCTCACACAGGAAGTGGGACGGCCTTCGCAGAGCTCATTGTGCCCGTGTCTGATGATGAAACCTTGTACTTACACACCGAGGGGAGGCGATTGTGAAACATGGGTTCTGCTGCACTATTAACAGCAGCTCTGATGTCGTGCAAGCCCCCCAGATGCCGGTTCAGGCACGTATGCAGCGTCACAGAAACGTTGTGACACTAGAAAATCAGTTGTCAGGAGTGAACCTGACAAAATGTCATTTTTTTAATCTCCAACTGATTTATTATCTTTTGACATCATTTAAAGTCGTTTATAAGGTTTGATCAAAAGAAAAAGATGTTTTTCAACATAAACATTTTAAAACTTTGCTACGAAAGGTGATTTAATTATAAACTGTTTTACTTTGCGATCTTTTAATCGTTTTTCTCATTATATTAAACTCAAATATCCACTTAAATCTTTACATGTTTTTGTTGTTTATTGAGCTGAAGCTGATGAAACCTTCAGGTATCAGCAGGATCATCAAGAATCGCGAGGAATTTCCCAGCAAGCTCGACACACCTTTAACTTTACAGTTCCCCGTCGTTTCTCTACAGAAACGTTCAAGATTAACCAGGTTGGTTGGGAACAAAAACGTCGGCTCGGAGCCGCTTCATTCCAGGAATTACAGCAAGTTATCTGAGAACCACTCCCGTTGTGTTTCAGAGGCCCGATTCTCTCAGCCTGAGGGTTTCTGTCACGTTTTCCTTCAGGAATTTAGATTTTAATCACTCCTCTCATGTTCAGAGAACGCTTCGAAACCTGAAAAAAAATAAACACAAAACTTCTCATGTCAATTTAATATTTGTTCTCACAAACTCTGTAGTTTAATATGTGTTTTATCGTATTAAAAAATTATCTTCTAAGTCAGTTACTCTCCACACCTGGTTCTGATCATCACACCTGCTCTCAATTATTTCAATTGTTTTCCTGAAAATCCAGAATTTCTAACCAACAAACCAGCAAATCCTTTTTCATCCTGTTAAAACAGGAGTGGGCAACTGGTGGCCCGCAGGCCGTATGTGGCCACCGAGTAATCTCTGTCCGGCCCTCCATTTTTAAATTTTTTTAACTTAAAAAATGCACTCAAAGCAGCTCTTAGGCTGCGTTCACACTGCTGGCAAATCCGACCCAAATTCGATTTTTTTGACCCATCTGACTCATATCCGATTTTTTTTATGACAGTCTGAACGCGACAAATCGGATTTTTTCAAATCCGACCCAGGCCGTTTCAGTATGTGGTTTTAAATCGGATATATATCTGATGTTTTCAAAGTGACTGCAGTGTGAACGCTCATGTCACATTCATCTGACTTTTTCATCAGGAGGAGGGGCTGAAGGATCGATAAGACACTAACCTCAAGTCACGCTGTTTAAATCTGCAGCTCCATGTGTTTACAGCTCCAAAACACAAGTCCAGTTGCTTCATCTTTTTACTTTTCATTTTCCACGTAGATAGTTTGATAATAACATGTCCAGCCTGGGTCGCGGAGAGTATCGATCCTAAAGTTCGATACTCGGTCGATACTTTTTTCCAGCTCGTAGTTTCGTTCAAAAAAAAAAAAGCTTCACTGGAGCATCCCGGTCAGAGGCAGCTTCAGATATAAACACTGAACTAAAGAAGCAGGTCAGATAATTATTTCATCGGCTCTGATTATACAACAACTTCAGATTCGATGTGCAAAATGTAGCATCCATGCTAGCTCTGTAAACAAACAAGCCGGCTGATGAGACGTCACGTCTTTTACTGCGCATGCGTGTCACATCAGTGCTGTGTAGCGTTCACACAGGAGTCTGATGCAGGTCGCATTTAAAATAGAAATATTGTCCTTTATCACCTCACATATATATATATATATACATATTTACATCATATTCCTGTTCTATAGCAGTAGCAGCTAATCAAAATATTTAACTTACTGCTCGTAACGATGGATAAAAAAGGCTATTAAACATGATTAAGTACAAGGTGTTGTTGGTTTCAACTGTCCAACATAGCTCAAGTTCCTGATGTGGCCTCTGGTGAAAGATAATTGGCCACCCCTTTTTTAAAAGATTATTATTTTTTATCTTTTGAGTCATTTTCTGCTCTCTCCTCACACCTGGTTCTGGTCGTCACACCTGTTCTCAATCATTCAGTCGTTTTCCTGAAAATCCAGAATTTTGAACTTAAAGCAGCGAATCTTTGTTCCAGTCCTGCTTTCTTTTTCCTGCCACAAAGTGTTGGCTCATTTAGCTTTGCGGAATCTTTTTGTTTCAAAATATAATTTTACTTCAACACTTCCTGCCTCCGATTGCATTCGTTGTTACAAATGACACTTTTTAAATGAGTTTGGACGTCAGGTTTTTAAACCTTTTCTCACACATTTTTTTTAGATTAATTTGGAAGCTTGCTTGTTTTCTGATCTTTCTGTATTAAATGACAGAAACGTTGGTGTTTTGCTGCAGAAACCTTCATGCATCTTTCTACAGATCAGTGTTGGAACAATTTCCTGCCTCACATGTCTGGTCCAGTTTCTTAACTTCTTGTCTGAGGTTGTTTTTTTTCATCATCAACCATGAAACCTGGGATAAAGAGAGGTCGAGAGCTCAGCTTTTAGATGTTTAAATTCAAATCTATTCTTCAAAAAAATTTAATTATTGGTGAAGTTTGTGTGAAATGAAATTAAAGACGTGCAGAAAAGAACAGGAATCCGAAACTGTAAATTTTCCACCCTTGCTTTATAAACAGGTAAAAGCTCATAAAAATGAAATGTTGAACTTTCTGCAGCCGTATTTCTTCACCTTCCCATGTCTTTCAGCGAGCGCTTGGGGTTTTGTGGTTGTTTTGATGTGGGGAAAAAGGAAATTCCAGCAGCCTAAGTGACTTTACTCGTAGTTTTAAAGTTGCAAAACTGTGGCTGCATCTGATATTTCCTCACATCCTCATAAAGCTGTGAGGCGTGAACGACGTCAGAAAGACCTCAGACTGGGTCTAAACTGGTTTGTGTCGGGGGTAAATCCAGACTGCAGGGCTGTGATTAACTGTTCACCTGATGGATCAGACACGCACTTTACTTTAGATGTGAGAAGATCAACAGGAAGTGACAAAAGACTCAATAAACCAACCGCACACTGTCACAATCAAGAGTTTAAATTAAAAAAATGTGAAGAAATTTTACATTTACAGATAAAAGATGAGACAGTGTCCGCAGTC